CATCCACTATGAATGATGAAAACTCATGCCTACACCATCATCATCTTTACCAGTAAAGTCAAACCACAGTTATTCTACTACTTCTACTACTCTTACCACTGTTACTATTACTACTGCTTGAAAGTTCACTAGAATAAGCAAACAAAATAACATGCACTCTGAGGAGGAAGAAAGCACTTTAAACCAGTTTACATGAAAACACAGGAGAGATTCACTGCAAAAATAATTTCTAAAAAAAACCTCTTCACAATATGACAGGAAAACACTATTATATCATTAACTAATATCAAACACCACTTTAACAAGAAGCTCATCTGAAACAACAGTCACAAGAACATATATGCCCATCACATAGTATTCACATTCAATGAAAAACAAGAATGCAACTGGGGCTCATACATTTTTATGCACTCACTCCACTACCAGTCAATTGGTAACGCGCTAAGAACCTCACTTTTCCTACAGAGGGTTTGGGCAACCACTAACAAGGCACCAGTGGTACGATTAGTGCTCACATACAATAGGTGTGACTCATCGACAACTTCGTCGAAATCCAAGTGGCCATTGAATCTTGCCTTCTCTCAACCTCCACCCACCGCCTTCTACTCTCCAATGAAAAGCAACACAACGGAACTCAGAAAATCTACCAAATGATAAAAGCAGTTAATTATAACGGCTAAAATGTATCACCTTTCAATACACTTCCATGGATATATAAATTTATATAAAGTTCATAACATGTATTACCACTTACCTGAAGAGTTGTAATTTCTTTTAATTGTCCCTCACGATCTATACGCAAAGAATTGTTCACCACGTCTTGCTCTTCAATTTGCTGTCGAAGACGAGCTATTGTCTGAACTTGCTTATTTATTTCATCATATTTGTCGTCAAGTTGCTGATAAAGCAACTTTAACTGTTCATCTCCAACTTTCCTTGCCAAAGCCAAACCAGCTCCGACAGTGTAGGCTGAGAGAAAAACAACACACAATGATCAACGTTCTACATAGTATTTATGATACGACAAGAACGTGTAATATCTCATGGTTTCAACAAAACAAAATTAAAAAGAAACTGACAAATCATCAAATACATTTCGATAACTTCGCATACAAAATAAAAAGCCGAGGCAAGCATACAATCGGAATGGAATAACCACTTCTGAATTGTAACAACACGTTCTTGGTTGCCAAAGTGCCATCAGTTCAGTCAGAAATACACACAAACAACAACCAATCAGTCAGTCAAATAGTTAAAACATTAATTAGTAAGCTTACTCGGTGAAGAAGATACTCCCTGTTTGAATTACAGATCAAAGCACGGCTCCACATAGAAGTTAAAGTTGCCACGCTGAGTCTGTAGTTAATGATCTTCACTATCCCAAGGACCCTCAGCTAAGCCAGACGGTCCAAACACCCCTTCACATGTTCACACCAACAATCACTACATCGACAGAAGTAAATAATGGTCACTCAACCGCATATTTATGCACAATGTTCGCTGGAACTATTACACCTTTCCTCAGTCTATATACATGAGTTCAGTATGATAGGAGTGATTTCCTGTGACCGCATTGTCAATATACCAAAATAGGACATAATATTACTCCACTAGTGATCTTAACTGCAACATGCCATTTCTCCACATTAAATTATAACTCAATTTCCTACGACCGCCTTTATGAGTTACATTTGACAGATGACGACTGGTGACAATAGCCAGTTCCCTAGGCTAAAATAAGCAGAGCGGGCTTTCGACCTCCTCACCCATTAACTCAACTTTACATACCTAACACAATCAGCCATACATCAACGCACATCAAGCAGATAATTAGACAACAGGATGGAAATAATCTAATCGGTCGTAAAGCAGGATAAAACGAAGAAATAGATGATAATGTAAATAGAGAAATGAGCTATTATAACAAGGATAGGCACAAACCATGAATCCACCCCTATCATCACTACGATCAATTCTGAACACTATCACCAGGAGTTTCTAGCCACAGGTTCTGATCGGCGTGCGGCTGATTCGCTTAAGCGCTCCATTTTCAATCCATGGGTTCGGAATTTAAATCCTGTTAAATCAAACTCCGTCCTTCTCTATGGCGGTGAGACGTGGCCATTGAGAGCGGAAGACATGAAAAGGTTGTCTGTTTTTGACCACAGATGTTTACTATCTCTTTCTCGCGTTAGGTGGTATAATAAGGTAAGTAATGTTGACGTTAGGCGTAGAGTGTTGGTTGGGCAAAGAGGGAAAATCAATCGAAGAGGCTATAAAGTTACATAGATAGAGATGGTTAGGTCACGTGCTGCGTATGCATAACCATCGTCTCCCCCGCCCGACGGGCATTACTAGCTGATATAGGTGCAGGTTGGAAAAGAGTAAGTGGTGGCCAAACAAAAACATGGCATCAATCCATGAAATCCTTGACAGTTAAACTCAGTCAGGTAGGGAGATGCAGACTTCCGGGTTGGGGCCCGCCCTCGGGACTCTAAGAATCAATGGCTGGAGACACCAGGGGACATGGCTCAAAATCGTTGTCAATGGCTTACGCAGATGTATTCAGTCTCTGTAATCTTTCATATTCCTTTCTACCATTACTCATTCTGTTTCACTCTTATACTTGTCAAAACTCTATTGATTCTCTTCACTCATTTTCCTGTCTACCTTTGTGTGCTATTAGGAACGTGGCAACCCGAACTGCTGCACTCCGGTGCCAAGTTCTATGTTGAATCCAGCAGCAGCAGCAGCAAACTCAGCCTGCCCACCTTGGTAGCAACATTAGTCTTCACAAAATATGTGTGATTTACGGCCCAATACACGAGAAATCTGCTCTAGGCAACTCAGTCACTTTATGCTGCTGATATTTTCAATATTCCAAGTATACCCCCACACCAATATCTTACTTTCCCTCTGTGCTATTTGTCCACATTCTCATCCTTATTCTTTATTCCTACTCACAGGAATACAATATACAAAAAGATAAATAAATAAACATAACTATGATACAGAAACAGCTTAAACTGGATACCGGCAATTGATACATATACAATTTTGAATCCTTAATTTTCAAAACCTTCAAGTTAAACTTAAACAGAAAACAGTTACAGTAAATATTTCTTAACGGCTTGCAAACTTTTAAATTCACTCTTCAGATCACTAAAAATACTGCGCAACTTCCTACCTTCCTCTCTTTTTCGCTCATACCTTCTACGCCATCCATCAGCCGCAAGCTTTTCGTTCACCGTTACCAGATTCTTGATGGTTTTAGCTCGCATACCGAACATTAGGGTGGACTTCGTCTCGGCATCATTGTACCCAGCAGGAGAACAACAAATCACCATAGTTGTTCGTGCATTACCTCCAAGAGATTCTTGAAGAATGCGAGTTAGTTTAGAGTCACGATAAGGAACATGAGACTGAAACAGAAAATTATTTAACAGATCAATAGCTTGATAAGGCAGTAGGAGTCATCTTCAAATAAGTACAACATATGCAGACAAGAGATTCAGGTCACCGTAGAGGCTAAAAATATGAGTAAGTGTGACGGATTTTCCTGCCTCAGAAACATACACAGTACAGAACTCTGCTAAGAAGTGAGCACATACAGACATACGTGATCAAAATACAACAATTCAATATCTCACGTGTCATAATCACGTGGAATTTCAAAGTCAACAGTGGCTAGAATACAAGCACTACTACCACCACCACCTGAAAGTATAAACTTACACTTCCTTCCACAAGCGCATTGATCACATTACCAAGAGCAGAAAGCGATTTGTTAATATTTTTGGCTTCGTCCAATACAGTACCCTCAGCGCCTGTCTTCGCAACTGTCACACTATCAGCCAAATCAACAAGATAAAGTTTCCCATATAGTTTCTTTTGAGTTTCCAAGTTCTTTTGTCGAACATTGATTAGGAGTACTGAGTGACTTCGAAGACTGTGCTCGGTCATGTCTATAAATACATAAGCAGTCACAAATTAGTGTCAGCAAATATCCTCAATGTCATATAAACTCCAAGATAACTTAAATTTCATGCACAGAAAACTAATATTTCAGTCAAACCACCAAGCCTAGCTAACAACACTAACGCTCAAGTACGACATATGCTAGGAATACTTACCCGTCACGGCCACACGACGGTTAGCCTTCCCCTCATCAATTGCATCGAAAACCTCTTTTGGAGTGTAAACAAACTTTTCAGTGACACCCTTGGAGATTCTCGTTAGGAGGAATTATAGCTTACTTTCACGCAAGGAACTCGGTCTTTATCCTCATGCACCGGTAGGTTTGTTTTCGAAACTGAATCAAGATATGAATTAGATCGAAAAAATTACCATCAAGCAGATCACGGATTTTTTCCATGTATATTTCGAAGTAAGAAACCTGAAGATAAGAACAGCACCACAAAAATTACCTTAATACGGAACACCAAGTTTTCGTCCATTTGGTGTATATGGTTGAATATATCATGAACTATCCGCGGGATAATACCTTGAAAGACTGGGTCACCTAAAATACCCTGAGGAGAAACAATCAGAAAGCAGAATGTCATACCTCCATAGTAAAAGTCTTTCCACTCGAAGTTTGACCATAGGCGAATATTGTCCCATTATATCCGTTCAGCACATCTGCAACAATGGGCTTGGCCACAACTTGATACACCTCTAACTGAGATGCCTTCGGCTGAACTACATGATCGAAGCTATAGTTTTTACCCTTATCCTTATACGCGCGCGCTTTGAAAAAGGACAGTGGCATTTTTTACGTTGTGAAGTAAATTCTGCTTTTGTTGTTTAAACCACATCAGAAGCTTTTTAGTTCACTTTAACTGATTTATTTAGTTGAAGTGTTGTTCATATTATTCACAGTCTGTGTTTGGTTCGGTATTTACGCTTTTTTTTCACGTATATACATTTGTGTATTTGGTTGGTATAAACCTCACAGTTCTCACGTACATATATTTGTGTTGTTGAAACAAATTAGCGCTATGGGTCCGAATAACAATTGCGGACGACCGGACTGCCACTTTCCGGTGGATGATGGTATGCAGTGTGACAACTGCAGCCTATGGTTTCACAAGGTTTGCACTGGTTTGTCACCAGTAGCCTATAAGAGATGTTGCATGCCGTCATCTCCGTGGCTGTGCAAATTTTGCAGCAACCCGTTGGATGTCCTCATCCAAGAGGCAGTGGGACTCCTGATGTCCAAGAAATTGACTAAAGACGTAGTCGAGAAGCCTGTACCAGAAATCATAGCCAAAAATGGCGGTTCAGGGCATAATTTTAAAACCGAAGGTGTATCGCCACCTGTAGCTCAGGGGGCAAAAGAGGCACAGAGTGCTCAAATGTCTGTAGCGACTAAGCGCAAACGGCAAAGGAAATCTAAAAGGGCGAGTAGTGCCAGCATGGCAACACCAGCCTGTGAAATGGCCACCCCAAAGCGCAGCGTGTCTAGTGCACGAATGGCCTCTAGTTGCGGCGAAAACAAAGTGGAAGAAACTGACTCCACTTGGTTGGTGCCGTCAGGTAAGAAGCAAAATAAACGAAGGAAAGAAACAGCAACCGAGTTCACCAACAAGGTCTCGATGGCTGTTAGTACCAGCCAAACTCAGAAACCTACGGACTCCAGTTACAGTGTTATCATCTGGAATTTGGAGGAATCTAAGAACACAGATCCAGCTGCCCGACATGCAGATGATCTGAAGGCGGTTAGCTCCATAATCCGGGAAATACTTCCCGAAAAAACAATTGGAGTTCACGTAAGAAAAGCCATCAGGATCGGAAAACGAAACCCTGATGCTACGGAAACTTCTCGACGACTACTTAAGATAGTTTTAGGGAATGAAACAGAGAAAAGCACCATCCTCAACAACGCGTTCAAAATTAACGATAAAAGCTTAAAAATAAGGCCTGATTGGCCTTTAGAAGATAGAATCAAAAGAAGAGAAGCCGTGGCTGAACTAAAGGCCAGACTAGAGAAAGGTGAAAAAGACCTCAAGATATTGGGTTTTCGGGTGGTGAGGTCTCGGAAACCGATGCTGCCGAGACCTCTCTTCATAAGCCGGATGAACACGTAGGTGTCTCGGTGTGCTATACGAACGCTTGTAGTCTTAGGAATAAACTCGCCGAATTAGGAGAGTTATCTGAAAGACTACAACCTGATGTGATTGCTATCACTGAGACATGGTTGTTAGTGGGTGTAGACTTAACTCCACTCATACCTGGGTACATCTGTATTCGAGCAGATAGAGTAAGTAGTCGGAAAGGTGGTGGGGTTGCTCTATACATCCGCGATGACATAGGGATTAGGTCAACGTTGTCAGAAGCTCATGACAGCGGTACCAGTGAGGCTGCAAGCTGCGTTATTAATCTGAGCAAAGGCACTTTAACGATCGGAGTTATTTACAGAAGTCCTGCTAGTCAAGCTGATGACTTCGTTCTAAATCACTTGAGGGCGTGGGGTAGTAGAAATAGGTGTCTGGTTGTTGGCGACTTTAATGCTCCACACATTAACTGGGGGGAATTAAACTCCACTAGTCTGTATACCTGTTTCAATAGGGAGTTCACATTGACAGTGCTTGAATGTGCACTCGTGCAACATATGCATGCACCAACACGGTATCACCCGGAACATGATCCATCTACTCTAGATTTGATATTAACACACCAGAAGGAGGACGTTGGTGACATTAGGTGCCTTCCACCGCTTGGCAGCAGTGACCACATAGTCATTGCTTTTACGTTTAAGATTCATTCTCTCATACACAGGTCAAAATCTGCTCGTCCAAACATTTGGAAAGCGGATATACAAGGAATCCGGAACGCAGCAACTTCAGTTGACTGGTCAGTAGATACAAGTCGGACTGTCGAGGAAGCTTGGGTAGGATTTAGAAATACACTAGATTGTGTCACTTCACCTTTTATACCTTGGTACACTCCTCGAAAGCTATCGCACAAGCCACCTTGGATTACTAGTGAAATAAGGAGGCTATTAAGACGGCGAAAGAACTTATGGGACCAATTTATTATGACAGGAAGGGAAAATTTCCAGAAAGACTACCGCAAAATTCGAAATCTCTGTAAGTATGCGATTAACAAGAGTCGTATAGAATATGAGAGACGGCTTGTGCTAGATAGTGTTCACTACCCAAAAAGGCTCTTCTCGTATATTAAACGTAGGACTAAAACTGGCAATGGTATACCGTCACTCATAAGCATTAGTGGAGAAACGGCTGAGTCAGACGAAGGAAAGGCTGAAAACCTCTCTGAATACTTCTGTGACGTCTTCTCGTCTGATAGTACCACCCAGGGATATGGCGAGGTTACTGCCATCGCCACTCAGATGCCCTCAATTGTGGTAGAGCACACAAAAGTCCTCAAACTACTGTCTAAACTGAAACCAGGTAAATCACCGGGGCCTGATGGACTTCACCCTAAATTATTAATTTCCTTGGCGGATATAATATATATTCCACTCGCGGAGATTTTCCAAATGTCACTGACCCAGGCTAAGCTACCCAGGGACTGGAAGGATGCCATTATAAGCCCTATATTCAAAGAGGGGGACAGGCAATTGGTATCTAACTACAGGCCGGTAAGTCTAACATGCATTATAGCAAAGGTAATGGAAACTATTATAAGGGATCAGCTATTAGCTTACGTTGAAACAAATGGCTTACTGGCAGTTGAACAGCATGGATTCCGACCAGGACGATCCTGCTTAACAAACTTACTGTTAGCTAGGGAAGATTGGGTCGAGGCCAGAGATAAAAACCTTCTGTTGGACGTGGTTTTTATTGATCTTAGCAAGGCATTCGACAAAGTATCCCACTTAGGTCTCCTTAGTAAACTTAAAGGTTTCGGACTAGACCAATGCCTATGTGAGTGGTTTAGGGATTACCTAATGGATAGAAGGCAGAAGGTTAGGGTTAACGGTGTACTATCAGGGTGGAAAGCAGTATCCAGTGGAGTGCCCCAGGGAACTGTATTAGGCCCCTTGCTATTCCTATTATACGTTAATGAGCTACCAGGGATTCTTACTTCATCTTCATTGTTATTTGCAGATGACATTAAGATATGGAAAACTGTAAACAATAGCGAGGACAGGTCGGCCCTACAAACTGATCTAGATAAATTAGCGGAGTGGTCGAACCTGTGGAGTTTGAAAATGAATTCTAGGAAAAGCGCAGTAATGCACTTAGGTCAGAAGTCTTATACGTCGTACTCCCTAGGGGACACAGAACTACCTGATGTTAACGAACAGAAGGACCTAGGAATCATTGTCAGCAATGATTTGAAAACAACTGCAAACTGCAATGCAGCCGCAGCTAAGGCTTTTCGAATGCTATGGGCACTCCGTAGGGCTTTCAAACGATTAGATGAGGGCATGTTCCAAATACTCTACGCAACATATGTTAGGCCTCATCTAGAATACTGCGTACAAGCGGCGGGTCCATGCTTCAAAAAGGAGGCATATATCCTGGAAAGAGTACAGAGAGTAGGAACGAAACTAGTTAGTGGTATATCACACCTTCCTTATGATAAGAGGATGGAGCATCTAAATCTCTTTCCGTTATCATACCGAAGGAAGAGAGGCGACCTAATTTTGGCTTACCGTATACTTAAGGGTGATTTAGGAACTGACCTTTCTAAACTTTTCTCTCCTTCTAGGATACATTTACGGGGTCACCGCAAAAAGGTGCTCAAACCGAGGACGATTAAAATACGTGCAGAATTTAGATTCTCTCATAGAGTGGTCAACGACTGGAACTCCTTACCTGATTCAGTAGTAACAGCTCCATCGGTGAACGCTTTCAAAGAGAAGTTAGATCTCTGCAGAGATATATTTTGCAAGGATTAACACAGGCCACAAGAGCCTTCTATCCTTATCAACTGAATCTGAATCTGAATCTGAATCTAGAAGAGTTGTCACAAACTAAAAACCATCAAACATACCCCAAGAGATACAGTTGTGTTTCCATCACCGGGGAATGACACCACGAACTTGCTGTCATTTGCTTTCTCTTGCTCATTAAGTGGTCTTACACGGCAGACAACTTTAATGCTCTCGCTCATAGTAACGACACGCTGAGTAACTTCTCGGGAGCCCGCCAATGTCTTCAGGCAATGAGTGAGCACTCAGATAAACAAATCAGAACACATGTTGAACAGCATGCGTAAAGTGAGCATGAATCAAACTGAAAGAGTGTGGGTGAATTCCTTGCAGTCTATACAGTCTCTTTTCGTTGCTCTGTCTCCTCTCCTCAGTGCCAATTTTAAGAGACTTGGTACTCTGTTCATCAATCGTCTGGTTTGTAGAATTTGAGAAGGTTGTCGTGATGGAATGCACGGTAGGGTCCCAGCTGACTACAGTGAGTAGCAATAATGATAATCTTTCATGAAATACGTATTTAGGTTTTGTGCATGCGTGATTTCAAATGGCCTCTGAGGTGGAGAATAGGATTTTCACCATGTGTAGTGGAAATGAAAATAGATGCCATTTGGGTGAAAAGATCCGCAAATAAAAAGACCATAGGTATTTTTGCACTGATAGCTAGATGACAGATCTCTGGTGCATGCCATATCATAGGCTATTGCCAATCAATTACGCGATTCTCGAACCTATCTGAGCAAAAGTTAGGACTGGTGTTTGAACCTCAACTATGAGACGTGATTCGTTAGTAAACAAAAATAGGGTGGGAGAGAAATCCGTGGCTGAATGAACGAAGGAGTGGTCGGGGAGTGAGGGAGGAATATTACATTATTCCAGGTATTTATCTTCAATCGACAGAGAGAGTGGTGAAGGGCACTAACTGTCCGATTAGTGCTTTCCAGTAAACCACTCAGCCGTCGGTGGCTTAACGTTAGAACGCTCGCCAGCCATGCTTGTGGTGCAGGGTTCTATCCTTGGTCGACGCACACCTTTGCCTCGCCAAGCCGGCAATAAGACTAGTAAAGAAAGGAGGTTGGGCATTAGGCTAGTAACTCCACCTCGTAAAAAATGCCACTGCTACCGAAACTGCAAAGCTCTAGTTTGAAGCCTTGCTCCACTGAGAATGTAAAGGAATCAAAAACTAAACCACTGTCCATTGAGTAATAAACAACCATGTAGGTGGAACACAGTCATGCGGAAAGCACTCCAGATGTTAGCAATAAGTTGCCCCCTAAAGAAAACATTGTGGTAACAGTGTGGTGTTTGTGGAGTCCCGAACAGAGGAATTCGATGGCCACTAAATTACATATCAAGGGTGGTTGCACCGCTTCACACTCTTCGGTATTCTCGTTTCGAAGTTATAAGCACCTCCATGATACAAGCACCTAATCTTTGCTTCTATACCCGAGATAACATGGTTATGAAAGTCACTGGCGATGACTGTATGAGTGGCTTCATTCAGCTCAGGATTTTATCCACAGTAAGCTCTGTTAAAGGAAAGCCTGACCTTTTATTTCGCAACATATATATGTTTATCGTTGTTGTTTCGATACTTCGATTATACAGCTATCTTTTTTATATCCTCAAGACTTTTTACCGGAAATCGTGAAAATTCTTGTTTCTGTGATGGTTAAGTCTATCAAACGTGTAATTGCCCTTAAGAGTATGAGATCTAATACTCGTCAACCATCTGAAGGCTTCAGCTACGTTGACGGTTCTACACTTTTGACACCAGACAGACCCAGCGTTATGGTATCTGATATCATGGAGGAACCGACAGAGATGATTTACTGACACTTCAGAAGTTAATAGCAGACATACAGAGCAAGTTTGACACCATTATGCCCCTAGCGCAACTGTGTGACCCATCACAAAATATCTGTCTTGAATCACTTATCAAATGCGAGCTCATAATTGACTATTTGCCTGAAGCTGTTGAGAGGATTATGTCTTCACATAACGTCTTGGCCTACAACATTCTAGACAGAGAGCCTATTGCCAAACTTAAAGCTCCGTGTCTGAAGGCTCGTAATATGTCGTTGACGGAATGTCAGGTTTTGCGTCTTCGTAAGAAATCTGAAAACCACTCATGTCCGGTGCTTTTCAAGTTCAGGTCTGTCGAAGAATCCAGGAATTTTCTGAAAG